TTTTTTTTTTTTACATTTGTTCAGTTTAAAGTGTATTTTTTGTACATTATTATTTAAATTTCTATCGAATAAAGCCTTTTATTTCTGGCAATGTAGATGAATTTGCCCAAATGCCAAATTTCATGAAGAGATAATTGGATTCTGCAGTGCTCAATCAATTGTTGTTTGGTATAGATTGTGTACGGCCAAAATACGTCGGCATGTATCTTGAGAAATCTTATGAACTACAAAACAAGCAAGGTTAAAGATGACCCACAAGATATAAAAGGTCACATTAACTTGAGCCCACTTGATCCAGTGTCTCCTGTCTAAACACAACCCAAAATAATTAAAATTTAATTTAATTAATCAGATAAACCTGGAGGTAACCGAGCTAGAGACTATTTTGTTTTCTATTTATTTATTCATTAGTGTATTTATTTATAACTAAAATATGTTCACACGTCCTTATTCAAGTAGGAACATATAATTTATACTCATTTTGTTTATAAATAGGAGGTCATTTTTACAATAAAGAACTAATGAATCGTTCAGGCTAATATAGTATCATTTCCACTCTATTGTTTACTCTTTCTTTTACTTTCATAGCTTTATTCTTATCGTGTGTTTCACAAGATAAATATTAAAATTCAGAAAGAAATTTAAATAAATTTATTGGTATTTTTGTTAAGAAAGTGTAGATTGTTATTTAGTATAGATGGATATATTGAAGGACATTTCGTGTGCTACATTCACCAAAAATAAAATTGTTATTATCATTTAAAAAAGATGTGACACCAACAAATATGTTTTAACAAGGCACTATTTCTATCTAAAAAAATTGAAATTTATTTTTGATAAATTTTATAAATGGAAAATTATTTTAAAATAAATATATAATTAAATTAAATTTTATTTATTTTCAAAGAAATTTAATAATTATAAAATTTATTATATTAAAAAGTAAAAAAAATATTACGATACAAATTTGCTCCCATGCAATCAATCTTCTTAGGGTGGTAGTCGGGAATAAAAACCTACAGCCCCGAGAATCCGCTCCCTCCATGTCGTCGGATTGAATCTCTCAGCTCTCTCGCATCTCTCTCTTTCTCGGCTTTACCCTTTCTTCTTCTCCGGCCGGGTAAAGCTTTTTTTTTTAAATAATTCTCCGCCTCTGGTTTCTTCTGTTTCACTTGTTATTTGATTGAGAAAATGAGCATGTGGAGGAGCAAGATAGAGCTTCTTCAGTAGAACATATGTGTTCAGCATAATTGATCTGATTCTTTCACCTTCTTCTATCTGCCTTTTTTGTTTAACCCATTTAAGTTGAAATCAAATTATTGTAACAAATCCTCACTGATGGAGAACCGTTTCACCAATCTATCTGCCTGGATAAATTTGACATCCAAATCGTCTTCTTGATCGGAAATACTAACTCCACTTGAATCAAACCTGCATTTTCCTAGCTAGGTCAAGCCTACCCGCGAGCTATCGAATCATAGATAAAAAAAATTTTACATGGATCGTCCATAGAAAGCCTTGCTGAGAATCCAATGTTTTTTACTCCATAGAATCATGAGTAATCAATCCAATGTTTTTTCTCCAGAGAATCGTCAGAGTTAATCGGGCTTAATGAATCTACTATCAGTAAAGCCTATCGGGTTTAATGAATCTCCTGATGATGTTAAAATATAAGGCTGTAGTAAGTAGAGGGAACAACATCAGATTTTCATCAATATAAAGCTTATGCAGGTCAAGTCATCCTTGCACACTACTTCACTACTACTGAAGTCAAGTTGAGTACTCCGGTTGAGTTTAAAAATGGTAAAGTTGAGTTGTGGATCACCCAGATTGAGTCGGCAACCACTTTAATTAAGTCAACAAGTAGGTTTGATCGGTCTATCTTTTGATTAACCACTCTAATATTGGTTGGATTGAATCAACCCAATCAGCAAATTATTATCTTTCTAGGGGAAAATTTTCAAGTCATTACATTGATGATGATATTGCTTCTAGATGTAATATTAGGCGATTTAAAATGTAGAAGTGCCTCAAGAATCTTATTCGACTATAGGATATCATGTACGTTTGAAATTTATGAAAATTTAATAAAGCCAATGATGCCATATAGATTTAAGTGTCGGAAGTAACAAGCTGTTGATATGTGTGTTGAGCATGATAAAATGGAAAGATTAAGATGGATCTGTGATCAAACTTGAAAGAATAAATTATTGACTGATTATATTAGAAGAATGGTTGTAGTGCCACAAATTTAAGATAATATAAATGAAATTTGACACGAATTCTTTGACATGCACAATAAATGATAGATAATGTTCCTTTTAGATGATGAGTAGATAAAATAAATGCCTTAGTATTATGAAGAAGTGTTAACCCTAAGATAACATGGATAAATATTGTTTAAAATGTGTTGTGAATAATATGTTTAATACTGCATGTAACACTCAGTAAGAAGGAATGGAAAGTCAAGATTCACGAAGTCAACCCCAAATAGTTCAGATAAAGGCTAATGATAAAAATGATGAAGTTGCAATGTGCAGTTTAAGCTTTACAATTTAAAAAAAATCAAATTTTTATCTTGAAACTTCATGGATTATTGTTGCTCTTGTCTCAAATATAGTCATTTTTTGGATATTTATGTATCCATTTATGTGTAGAATGATTTAAGCTAACATTCCATCTGCATTTTCATTTTTCCATCTCTATCTTTTTTGTAGTTTTCTGGCTCAAGCTATGCTGCAATATATTGTGAGGAGAGCTGCCTCAAGAGCAACAAACATTACTACGAAACCAAAATCTGCTGTTTTAGCTGATATAAGCTGTAGTAGCAGTGATATGGCAGTTTTACAGGTAAAGTTCTATGGAACCATTGGTGTGAATGAGCCTCACTGCAGCCAAGTTGCTCGGCAGATGATTCAGTATGCCCTTAGGCACGCTAGGTCTCAGAAATCAGGCATGTTTAGATTCAAGATTGCTTCTTTTTATTCCCGTTTTCCTCTTTTTACTGGTCACATAGGAATTAGGTTTAGGATTTCATATCTATTTGTATTTCTTCTGCAGGAGATTCATACACACAATCACTAATGGTGCTGGAGCAAGGGATTTCCAACTTAAGAGGAGGAGATTCCACTGAGGATGCATTGGGGATGCTTATGCTTGCAATGTCTACTTTACTTTATGAAAGGTTCTTTTCTCCTTCATTTCTTTGCTTTGATTTTTTGTATCTACTATTTGTCCTTTTCATTTTATTATCATACTTAGCCTTTACTATGGGACAAGATTATTGTATGTTTTACTACAATACTGAAAAGATTTTAGGTGCATTAGCTTAGAAATCTAAAATCTACTGATGTGGGTGTAGAGGCGAGCTTCAAGATTCCATCGAAAAGCTTCAGATGGTTCATGATTTGGACGGTGGGTCTCTTGCCATAAAAGGTAACTGAAGCTTACCTTGTATAAACGAGATTATTTATTGCATGGTTTTTTTTTTCTTTTTGATTGATCATTTCACATGTTTTACAGTGACCCACTAAATTGCTATAGATTACGGTTTCTTAGGCCTTTTTGCTAAGTATTGGGCTTTGGATTCAATTCAGCTAAAAGAAGATTGAACCTAATTAAAGATTGGTTAGCCGATTGTTCGAAAGCCAAGACTTGAGGCTAACTTGACTTGGTGCACCATTGCACAACTTAATTTTAAATAATAGAAATATGGGTCATGTTGGGTCAACATCAACGATGCAGATAGAGTCAGATAGAGAAAGTTGGGTGAGAGGAAGCAATGAACAAAAAAGACTGGGACCAATGACACAGCTTTGATTTAGCCAAAAATGAATAGTAATAATCATTTTATTGCGTGTTTCTCTGTGTCTTTTTGTCTGGGTAGTTCGGACCAGAAGATGATGATTTCTCTTAGCCTCAAGGATTTGTTATGAGACTTAGATCACTTTAGGCTGATATCCGTGGTTGCGCCATTGTGCTTCTGAGTGACCACCCACCAATGATAGGATTGAAGATAGATGTCGCAGGGAGTTGGAAAAGAATTCCTGCACAAATGGGGATAAATTTAGGAAGGGGAGGGGATAGGAAAACAAAAAACTTTTGGACTTGTAAATTACTATTTAGAAGAGAAAATTAACCCTGTTCGAATTGGTTTTGAGTCTATGGGTTGGACTGTTATGTGAGCTGGACGTTAACCCTTTTGTCGCAAATGACTTAGAAATATAAAGAGAATGTATAAGAAAAATATACTTTTCCTAAAACATATAATGTCACTTTGTTAAAGAAGGCACTAAATTTTATTTCTTCTTGAAATGATGCGCAGTTGCTGCACGGGAAGCTCTGATAGGTCTAAATCTTGAGGCAGGGCAGGTTTGTCACACCACATGATCTTCTATATTGCTCTATTCTTTTAAACATTTATTTAAAAGATGATTTTCTTAGGATTTCTCTTCGTTGGCCCTCTCAAATGACTGCCTCCAATTGTTGAGTAGTAGCTCCGGAGGCAATTTATCTATATTGGAGGCTACAAGCTCTCGGGCTAAAGCTATCAAAGGACTAACTCATCTTATTCTTGGAGAACTTAAATCGGGTTTATAACCTTGTTCTTGTTACCCTACTTTGATTGTAATTAATATGATTCGTATTAATGAAGGAAACTTGGTTGTTTTCATCAGCGGAAGCACTCTTTAGTGATTGCAAAGTGGATTTTGTGGACAGTACAGATCAAATAGGTGATTTATACTTATTTATACTTATCTTTACTTTCCAAATTATCTAGCTAGAGAACAACTCAATTCTTTTTATTGTTTTTCAGGAAATATTTCCCTCAGTTATGGGGAATTTTCACATGCTACAGGCAATTTATCATTGGCAGAGGATTTATATGAAAAAGTGCTAAGTGTTCCTGAGAGAGATGCTATTTCAGATAATTCTTTTATGTCATCCTCAAACATGGTTTCTGAGGAGGTTCTTTTGGGAGCTACTTGTGCACTAGGTCAGCTTCTGTCCCATTTGGGGTAAGCTCCTCTCTCTTCTTAGGGATTTATTATATTTTTAACTGCCATATATATGTATATATATATATATATTGTCACATTGTATTTCAGAAATCAGGGTTGTATTTTCTTTATAATTAAACCATCGTATAGAATTCTTTTGCATTTTTGTGCTTTGATCCTTTTTCTTCCCTTTTGGTTGCGGTATTTGAATCTGGTTTTATGTCTTCATGTTCATGCTTTGATAGCAGAATTTTTAATTCAGGAAGTTTAGCGAGGCAGAGGAGCTGCTGACAAAGGCACTTACCATGG